ATGATCTTAAACTCTTATAGAGGCCCACATATAGGTAAATCTTCTGATACTTCTTTTGATTCTACAACTGAAAATAGGAACAAAGAGGGTAATGCTTATGTCGATAGAGCCATTAGGAAGTTAGTTACTAAGGTTCTATATGGAGGCTATAATGTCCTTGGAATTTCTACCCCTCTGTCTCGTTTGGATGCTACTCCCACTACTGCTGCTAGCCAAGGTGAAGAAAAAGATGTTGATGACTCTCATTCTGAGAAGAACCTTAACACTGATAATCTGCACAAGTAAGCTAACTCTGTGCTCAAAGAAGGAAGAGTGGAAGGTGATGCTAATGAGGAGGCTGGTACCTCTAGTATGGAAAACAAAACTAATAGTTCAAATTAAAGTAAGAAGAAGGTAAATGCATCTGATGATGTGGTGGACGTTGATAGTGTTCCATCTGATGATGAACTAATAAAGAATGTGGCTCCTAGAATTGTAAAAAGGCTAAAGACTAGAAAAGGTAAATCTATGATTGATCAATCTCCCTCTAAGAGTAATAAGAAGAAAACTGTTGTTGGTCCCCTTAAATCTTGGAGCAAAATCACTCTTGTCTCTAAGAAAAGAAAGGCTAGGTCAGAAACTGATTCTGATGAAGATGTTAAGGATGATGTCTATGACATCACTCCTGTAAAAAGGTCTGCTACAAAGAAAGCAACAGATATTGTTCCTGCTGCTCTGGACAATGTGTCTTTCCACTCCATTGACAATGTGACAAAGTAGAAATTCGTGTACCAAAGAATAATTGCTTTGGAGGGAGAATTAGGCAAGGATACTCTTGAAATCAAGGAAGTCATGAAACTAATCTCTGATGATGGGCTGATAAATACTGTGGTTAGGTTCTCAAAATGCTATGATATGCTAGTTAAGGAATTCATTGTGAATATTCCTGAAGACATTACTGACAAAAAGAGAAAGGAATTCATGAAGGTGTTTGTGAGAGGAAGATGTGTGGACTTTTCTGCTTATGTGATTAACAGGTTTTTAGGTAAGGATGAGGAAGAGGCTAGTGAACTGGAGATAATTGACAATCAAGTTACTGCATGGCCCGCAAGGTGATAACTGTTAATCAAGTTACTGCATGGCCCTTAAAAGGTAAATTATCTGCTGGCCAACTAAGTGTGAAGTATGCCATCCTGCATAGGATTGGTGCAACCAACTGGGTACCTACAAATCACACTTCAACCATTGTTGTTGGTCTAGGAAGATTTATTTTTGTTGTTGGGACCAAGGTTAAGTTTGACTATGGAAGTTACATCTTTGATCAAGTTGTGAAGCATGCCACCACAAATGCTGTTAAGCTACCCATTGATTTCCCATCTCTGATCTGTGGGATTATCTTGAGCAAATATCTTGGGATTCTCTCAAGCAATGATGTGGCCTGCAAAAGGGACTTTGTACTATCACTTCACTATAAGCTGTTTGCAGGAAGACATGTCCCAAACATTGTCTTAACATCTTCTAAGAAGACACCCACTACAAAGACTGAGGTTATATCATAATTAAAGGAGACCTGAAGGGAATTAGGAGAAGTTATTAGTGTGGCTACAGCAAGGAAACTTAAGTTAGAAGCTCTGATAAGAGGTCTGGAACTGAATGAAGAAAATGATATGAAGGTTGCTGATGTTCAGGAAGAGGAAGATGGGGAGGTTTCTGTCTCTGGTAAGAAGACTGGTGATAATGTTTCTGGGTCTACAACTGCTGATGAAGATGAGAGTTCTGGGTCTGAGGAAGAGAATTGATGATGCTTGGTTATGGTGTTCGTTGGTTTATGGATTGTTTTGTTTGTTGTTTCAGAATTTGTTCTTCTTGCACTTAATGTGCTTTTGACTTGTACTATTTGGGTTCTCACTATACCCTTAACTCTATTTGATTATGTATAATTGTTCTATGTTATTGTATTTTCCCTTAGTATGTTTTCCTTATTTATGGCTAAAAAGGGGGAGAAAGAGTATGAGGGGTTGCTGGAGTATGAGGAGTTGTTGTTGTTGGTGAGATTTGAGGAGGTTTTGTTTTATTAACTGTGGCTGGTTATGATAATGAGGGGGAGTTTTTGTTTTTTTTCTTACACTTTGGTTTGAGGGGGAGGGAGCAATTTATATCTGTGTTTCTGCTGCTGTGCTCTCTGATATGTTCTAAGAGCTCTTGTGATCTATTGGTTGTTTTAGCCAAAATTTGCTAAAGGGGGAGTTTGTTAGTTCTATGATTGGCAGGAATTTCGGTAAAACTTTATGTTATCACAAGATGTCATATAGGATGTCTTGATATATGATCTTAACATTCTGCAGGTGGTTATTCGTAATGTTGCAGGGTTTAGCTCATGATGTCAAGTATGATGTCCCGACATTTGTGAACAGAACATTCTGTGTGAATGTTATGTTTTGACTGCTGTGTTTTTGTGCAACCTTTTGCGCTGTTGTGATAAGATATTTTGGTGATACAAATCTACGTGGAAATCTTCCTTATACAAAAGTGTTTCTGATACATAATTAGTGGAGTAATTGTGAAATCTTTGTTCTATTTTCGTGCAAAAATCTTGAGAAGATTTGGAGGTTAATTTGATTTAATCAGATTTGATTTGGTTCTATTTCCTTGATGTTTATTATGAAAAGATCTGAATAATTATCTAATTTGATTTTATCAAATCAGAGGTAGTTTTGCTAAAGCCCAAGCCCGCTTAAAGTGTTACTATATAAAGACTGTACAATCCTACTTTGAAGATTAGATAAGCTAGTCCTACTTTGAAGATTAGATAAGCTAGGGTTAAGTGAGTGCATTGCGTAAGGAATAAGCTTTTAGCTTTGTGTGTTATTGTTAATTGTGAGTCATTCACTCATCACCTTGATGTGTGAATTGGACTGAGTTTTTGAGTTGTAAGTTGTCCACTCTAAGCTTTTAAACAAGAGTGCATTGTTCTTGATTGAAGCTTTTAAGCAAGATCAAGTATTGTCTTTGAAGAGTGTATTCTACGTTTTATTAATTTGTTGTTATCACTGTTGTTATTGAGGGGGAGTGAGAGGTGTCTCATATCTAAAGGTGTTTTTGATAGAAATTGCAAGGGTAGAGATTACGTGCGAAGATTGTAAACTAGAGAGAGTTTGTTGTGAATCTTCAAACTAATTATATTTAGTGAATTTCCTTCCTGACTTGGTAGCCCCCAGACGTAGGTGTGTTTGCACCGAATTGGGTTAACAATTGTTTGTGTCTATTTACTATTGTTAACAGCCTTTTCATCTTGTTCATATATTGGTGATTGTTCAAATATTAGTGTCGTGACATCTCCTTCGACATCTCATATCTGATACCAGAATTTTAGAATGTTTTGAGAAATTGAAGAAAATTTTGAAGAGGAGGGGATGATCTTACACTCTTATAAAGGCCCAAAAGAAAGATGATTTAAAACATGGTATAAATGGTGTGTGAGTCAAGATAAACATGTTGTGATCTTAAAACAAGTTTTTAAACAAAGTACATTTATCCATATGAAACTCAAAAATGAATTAGGTTAAAAACTATTAGCAAGAAAAATATTTTTTTCAAGATTTTAATCATAAAAAAAGCACTTATTTTCAACTTAATGAAAAGTGATCAAATAAAATCTTTTTTAAAATTTTTTTGGTGATTTAAAATAATAGAGTGTATGAGTGACATGTATGCAAAAAGTCATTTAAAAATAATTAATTTTAAATATTAAAATAATTATTTGAATTTTAATATGAAAAATGATTAAAAAAATAACATGTGGGGTTTGAACCCACGCCCTCATGCATCCAACTCTCAAAACACGCCTTGGCCAACTGAGCCAGCGTGTGCTAACAACAATTAAACACAACCAATTGATTATATATGATAAATGCGTGGGAAATTCAAATTCTGCACGCGGAGAACTTCATCTTCAACCTCCAGCTGATTTTGCAAAAGTTATGCTAACTCCCTCATTTCGTTATGAAATTAGATGATGTAAACATGAAAACACTCGTTTTTAAACAAAGAACTCAATGGTGGTATTTAATTTCATTTCTTTTTAGTGTAGAGTGAGTTATTACGCATGAACACAGAAACTAAGAATTTACAAACACTAATATGAAATCTTATACATGTAAAATAAACAACAATGAATTGAGGGTAAATGATCTATGAGCTACCATAAGCATATTGGTAACTTGAAATAACATTTATGATGCATGATTCAGGGAGTTTGAAAAAATTTAGGTATACCTTGCAAGAGGAGATCGAATCCTCAGTTGTAGGTGTTACATATGTGAAATGATGATCTGGACAGCTTCCCTAGACCTCAAAGATTGTATTGATGTGCTTGGAATGGATGAAAACCTTCTGAATTGACGAGCTCGAATCCAACTGCAGCTTGATTGTGATGAACTTTGATCTTGATATAATTTTGATATATTTATTGTTTATACTCACTTTCCCATAATATCAATTTTTTGGATCAAATAGTTCAATGACAAAATTCCCTATTTTAAAAGTGAACAAATGAAATGTTGTGGATTCAAACTCACCCAAGTGTATTTGATGTCCCTGCCCTACAAACTGAGTTGACTTAACATAGCACAATATGTTAAATTTTGATCGAAAATTGGTTTTTGAAGTTTAATTATTGATGGAACTCTATTGAAAGGATATACACCAACTTTAACACATAAATGACATAGATATTGAAAAATAAATCATATTTGTGGATTTCATGATTAAAACAGTTGAAGTATGACATGAGAAAATATGAGAGGAGTATTCTTGAAACAAAACAAAGCCATAGGTTTGAACTTTGAACTATTGAATATCATGACTATTATAACAGAAAGGTGGTAATTACTTAAGCACATAAACTCATGTTGAGCAAAATAGTCCCTTTTATTTATCAAAATAAAACAGTTTCTTTCAATAGGTATCCAACAAGGACTCAATGTTCAATACCACCAACACACAACTGATGACCTCATGAGTCATGGGATCAACACAACAGACCCAGAGGTTTTTCTATTCTCCAAGTCTTCATGTGCTTTTGCTGCTTCAGACAATGGATAAGTATGATTAACTCTCACCTTCAATACACCTGAAGCAACATTAGCAAAGAGCTCACCAGCAGCCTCCAATAGCTCGTCGCGAGTGACAACATATTGAAACAAGGAAGGCCTTGTTAAGAACAGAGCTTTGGCAGCCAAGGACGACAATGGAACTGGATCAGGTGAACCGGATGACTGTCCGAAACTGACCATGTAGCCTCTAAGCTTCAAGGATGCCAGAGATCCCTGTACAATATCATAGAATATTATCAACAGCTCGGTTTGAATAAACAACTAAGCACTACTAGCATAGCACACTACCTCAAAGGTATCCTTTCCCACAGAATCATAGACGACTTCAACACCAGCGCCTGACGTAATTTCGTTGACGCGTGCCACAAAATCCTCTTCTTTATAGATTATAACATGATGGCAGCCATCCTCCTTGGCTTGAGCTGCTTTCTCCCTAGTGGATACAGTTCCTATAACAGTTGCACCAAGTGCATTTGCCCACTGGCACAACAGGGATCCAACTCCTCCAGCTGCAGCATGGACAAGAATTGTGTGACCAGGTTCAACCTGCAAACCGAAAAGAAAAAGGGTAAAAAAACTCGAACAACAATCTATGGCATGCTAATAAAAATAAAAGCAAAAAGACTTCCTTCAAATATGATTCTTAAAATTTGGAGTGAGTTTGACTCAATCCTACAAAACAAACTTGTAAGGCGAGAGATATCTCCCACTTTCCAGTTATATTATATCTCATCTAATTTGAGACTCCTAAAACACGTCTATCAGTTATCATGTCCAAGACTGGATATATGGAATTTCATTCGAGGGAACCGCTAGCATATAGCCCCACGAGTCTTGAATAGACTCTGATCCCGTTTTAAAATTTGAATTAGGTCTAACAACCCTACAAATCTGTTCAACACTGATATGAACACACCATTTTTAGAGATGTCGGTGCTACATAGAGTAGTACTATTAATCATGATAGTAAAAAATAATTTATTGTAACCAACCTTGAAGCAACGGCGGAGCAAAAATTGAGCTGTCATGCCTTTCAGCAAGACGGATGCTGCCACAGCTGGTTCAATGGAGGAAGGGATAGGGATTACTTTGTTTGCAGGAAGAATCTGCTCTTCAGCATATGAGCCCATTGGTTGACCAACGTAACCTACAAGATCTCCAACCTGTATACCAGTGCGGCCAGCACCCACAGCTGTCACAATGCCAACAGCCTCCATACCTGCCACATTAAATATGGAAAAGAACTCACTCAATACATGATACTTTGCATGATGAAGATACATTCGGCAAAATGTTACGAAACTCATCATCAACGCATGTGGTCAACTGTATATAAAGACCATGTTTGGGTAGACTTCTTAACAAGTACTCAGGAAAATAAATAAATACTACAAGAACAACTCCTAGGAGTTAACCTGGTGATGAAGACATGGGTCTTGAGAGTGTGCTCCTCTCAAGATTTTAGGTTCAAATTTCGCTAGGTGCTAAGAATTCCTATGTTTAAATGGGCCTCCGCAAGTGTACAGATACCATGCTTTCAAGCTTTCTCATTTTAACTTCTTCAAAACACCTATAATTAATTTCTGTGGAAAATTTAAAGGGGTTTATTTATAAAAGATAATCAATAAACATGATTTGATTGAGAAGTTCACATAAACTAAAAGGTAAAAAAGTTAATCAAAAACCAGCGAAAATTGTTGTTTCACAATTTTGAGAGCAAATTTCCCAATCTCTAGTGATGATCCACTCATTGAAGTTTTCATATTATCAATTACTTTTCATAATTCTATCTTAGATAGTTTATTGAAATAAGCTGAAAATAAGTGTAAGTTTGGTTTCACCTTTGGAGCATCCATAATTAATTGATTTGATGTGTAGAATTGGTTTTATCATGTTTGGTAACTCTCGAGTAGAGTTGATTATGCTTTCTAGAATTGATTTTAATTTCTACTCGAAGCTATGATTTGTAGTTTTTTAAGTCACTTTTGCAATTATTTACCCAAACACAAATCACTATACCTTCAACACACTTTTAGCCCTAATCAATTTAACAAAATCAATTCACTCAATCAATTTTCTTCACCAAACACACACTAAGATAAACTCAAATCGCAGCTGTTCAAACTGATTCTAGGAATCCAAACATAAGATAAACTCAAATAAGCTATAAATAAGCCATTCCAAACACACTAAAAAACAATTTTCTTCAATTCAACAAAATAAACAACACAATTCGTTAGAAAATGAGTAAACCTGGAGTAAATGGCAAAGGAGCCTTATAAACCCCTTGACGAAAATAAACATCAATGAAATTAACACCAATAGCTTTATTCTTAACACGAACTTCTCCTTCTTTAGGTTCTCCAATTTCAACATCCTCCCATTTCAAAACCTGTATTTAAACCACCATCATCGTGTCAATTCGAGTCACGTGCGAGCAAGAAACATGAGGAAAAAAGACATCAGAAAATTCACCTGAGGACCACCAAGTTCATGAACGCGAATAGCTTTCACCATTTCTGAGGATGATGATGAAAAGGCTTTTGTGATGAGTGGTGATTTTGTGGGGAGTCTGGATGAAGAGGAGAAGAAAGAGGAAGAAAGGGTTCTTGTTGTTGTCGTTGGTATAAGTAGTAGAGAGTGACGAAGAAGGTTTTGGTATTTCAACAATGACATTTGTTTTTTTTCTTCTTGTCCTAATTGCGACTTTTTTGGGTTGCAAATGTAAAATGTAATAAGTGAGGACAGAAAAGGATAGCTAGTGACAAATTAATTAATTTATTTTTTGATGGAGACAAATTAATTAACTTTACTTTTATTGTTTCTTCTAAAGTTTGAGAAGCATACCCCACGTGATTTAGAGAGAGAACATCTTACTTCTCTCTAAACTTATTTTATCTAGGTTTTAACGACGGTTTTTCTTAAGTTTCTTTCACTAGTTTTCACCAATCTCTTTTGATTTGTTTTATTCTCTAGTAGAAATTCGTCTCGTTTTATTTTTCGTTTTTCGTTTTCTACTTCGTTGCCAACCTATCGTTATCCAAGGAGGAGGAAGGAGTCACGGTGGCAGTGAAAGAGGTCTATGGTGAAGAGATTTTCCAACAAACTCTAGCGGACAAATTGTGGACGGATAACAACTTCAATACTCGAGCTTTTATGTCTACAATGATAAGCGCGTGGAAGCTTAAGAACCCCGTAGAAACACAAGAACTGAGTAAAAATCTTTTCCTTTTCCGATTTGCAACCAAAAGAGATCTAGAGAATGTCCTCCAAAGTGAGTCGTGGATTTTTTATAGGAACCTTCTCGAGTCTCTGGTGAAAAACAACTATCAGATCTAAACATGCACTATGGTGTCTTTTGGGTGAGGATCTATGACCCGCCTCTAATGCTAAGGTCGAAAACTATGACAAGGAAACTGTGAGGTATATTGGGAACTTTTGAAGAAATGGACCAGAAGGAAGTGAAGGTGAGATAATACTTAGAAGGGGGGGTTGAATAAGTATGATAAATTAAGACTTAAAAAATAATCACACAATTATTTTTATCCTGGTTCGTTTAACAACTACTCCAGTCCACCCTTCCTAGAGTGATTTGCCTTTCTCAACAAGGACTTAATCCACTATTAAATCAAACTGCTTACAATAGTATCACCTAAGAACAACAGTTCTTAGTCTTCTCAAGAGCTACTGATTCAAACTGAATCCTCTTAAGGAATAACCTTTACAATCAATGTAAATTAAATACAAGAGTTTTAATGCTTCTAAAAAGCTATTATCACAACAGTGATTTTTCTCTTAAGTTTAAGTACAGTGAGATTCTAAGAAGAATAAGAATAAATGAGAGCTTTAGAATATAATGATTTCTTTTCAGCAAAGTGTGTGACTGAAGAATGTGGTGAAGTTCTCCTTTTATAGGCAGCTGATCCAAGCAAGCTGAACGTTGAAAAGAGAGTCCCAAAAGGTCTGAGCCTTTTTTGTCTTCACATCAAGTGACCTTTCCTAGAAGTAGATGGCACAGAAAAATCCTTTTTGTCTGTGTAAGTGTGTCTAGCACAAATGAGGAAAGAGACGTTGAATAGCTCCAACAGATATATTCTTGAAAATTGCTTCTTCAGTTTTCAGCAAGTTCTTCAGAGTCTGAATGGATCAGAGTCTTCTAATGAGATTCAGAACTATGCTGTATCAGAGTCTTCTGCAGCAGGTGTGCTTTCAGCGTGTTGATCATCAGAGCATTTTTGACACAGAACTTCAGTACTTGGCAGCGTTGGTACTTTCAGAAACTTCTGTAGATAAATGCTTTGAGAAACTCTTCAATAAATATTCTTCTATGCTTCAGATGCTTCAGCTTCAGATGCTCTTGATTATCTTCAGATGCTTCTGACTCAGAATGTTCTGGAGCTTCTTGCTTCAGATCCTTCTGGAGACTACGCTCAGGATCTTCTGTAAGGGGCAATCAGATTCTTCTGTAAGGTGCATCTGGCGCTTCAGAGTCAGAATAACTTCTTGTATTCAAAACAGATTTGCTTCTAGAGAGTTAATATTATTTCAATCTGCAGTAAAACTCTCAAACAAATTATAGAGTATATAATTCTTAAATATAAATTTCCTAACAGTTATCATCAAAACAAAGAGTTATTATTAAGAACCAATTTGTGTTCTAACAATCTCCCCCTTTTTGATGATGACAAAAAGTATCAGAAATTTTATTTAACTGAACATAAAGAATTATAACTCCCCCTGAGATGATGAATCTCCCCCTGAGTTAAATGAGAAAAAGGAATAGAAACTTCCCTTTTATCTTGAGTAATCATCAGAGTTAGATCTTGTTTGTTCTTATAACAATTTAGGGTCAGAATATCTTGCAGATATAAGATTCAGAGTTTGGTAAATGATCTGAGAAACTCAGAGATTCTTTTATAGAGTGTTCTGAAATAGTCAATTTAAATATTAGATAAAATAGATATGTCTGAAGATTCATTCCAGTGAAGTTATATTAAACAGTTCAGATCTTTATTTTCTCCCCCTTTTTTGTCATAAGCAAAAAGTAAAAACTTTTAATTAAAGACAGATAAAAGGAACAATAAATAGATAATTCAATGGAGAAAAATTGATTCATTTAACAAAACAGAGCAAGAGTACATTGGTAAATATCAGAAGATATAACAATAAAATTCAGATGCAAAACAACAGATGCACAAACATTAGAATGAAAAAAAAATCTAAGAGTGTTTTGACAAAAGCATCTTCAATAGGTCTGTAATCTCAGATGAAGATTGCTCTTGCTTTGACATCCACTTAGTCATTGTCTCATTCTTCTCATCTTGTTTTGACATCCACTATGTCATGTCCTCAGATTTCTTGTCTTGCTTTGCCATCCAAGATTTTATTTCAGATTGACCAGCCTCCAGAGCAGCAATCTTGTCTCCAAAATCTGGATGTTCTGTCTGTATCTCTGATGAAGAAGATGGAGGTTTTGCAGCTTGAACAGAGTCAATTGCCATAGGTTCTGGAGATCCTGAAGAGGGTTCTACCAGAGTCATAGTCAATGCATTGGCAGTTGGTTCTGTTGGAGGAGGAGGAGCATCCAAACAAAGCAGAGGTTCAGTTTTGTTGACAATCCAGAATTGAGTTCTTTCAGCTCTGAGCTTTGCATCATCAGAACAGATGTTCTTCATATTGGAAGCTACATTGTTGAATCTATTGATAAATCCTTTCCAGATGATGTCAGTTTCATTTGCATCCATAGTTTCAGAGCATCTCTTCTGAACAGTACCTAAAGACATCTGTATTTCTTGCAAAAACGTTTGAAATAAATGATCAATATTAAGTCTGGGTGGTGGTTTAAGCAAGGTTTCCAGAGTCATGTGTTTAGGTTTGGGAGTTGGTGGTATCAGTGATTTTGGGATGGAAATTAGAGGAGGGGGATAATATGGAATGAAAGGAATCTCTGGTTTTTGAGGTAAGGATCTGTTTAAAGCATTAAGCAGATTAGGTTTAGGTCTTGTGCGAGAGTAAACAACATCAAAGGGTTCATTAGAATATGGTATGAAAGCAGAGGTTGATGGTTTATCAGATGCAACTTTGTTATCAGATGCAGGTTGTAGAGCTGAAACAACAGCTTTACCAGATGTAGCAGATATGGTTGCTAAGGATCCTTCATTGTTCATAGATTGAATATATGAAAGGATTACAGATGGAAGAGCCTGTCTGAGTTTTGGTTTCAGAGGTTTCAGGGGTTCAGAAGGTTCAACTCTATCATAAAAATCTTTCAGTTTGAAACCATAAGATAAATTATGATAAAGAGAAGAAACTTGGGCACAAGAGATACCAGATGATGATGGATTGGAAGTGGGAACAATCATCTCAGATGATGGTGCAGGTGGAGGCAAAGGGTCTGAAAATGGGAGTTTTAGCAGGTATGGTTGATTCAGGTTCAGGTTCGTGTACAGGGTATTTGTCAGATGGAGAAATCAGAAAATCTGGATGAATTTCTGATTCTGATGAGTTGGAGGATGTTGTAGGTGTACAAGAGGTAGAAGAGACTTGAAACACTATTTTTAATGGAGTGATATCAAGAACTTCTGTCTCAGGGATATGAGAAGGTTCTAAAGGGGTATCAGATTGTTTGGATGGTGGTTCTGATGAAACAGGAGCAGAAGTTACTTTTGTGGGTTCAGAAGTAACAGGTGCAACAGGTTCAGAAGATGGAATGTTTGATGGTGGTATGACAGAGTCTTTTTCTGGTTGAACTTCTGTGGTTTGGTTTTCAGAAGTTTTTGGTTGATCAGAGTTTTGTTTATCAGAAGGTTGTTGTAGTTCTGATGGTTGTGGTTCTGTTGGTTGTGAATCTGATGGTGATGGACGTGGAATAAAGTGTTTGATGTGTATTTTGGGTTGAGGTGTTTTTGATACAGAAGTAGTGTTTTGTTTTTGAGGTGAGACAAAACTAGGGGCAGCAACAGAAGTTGTTTGAGTAACAGGTGGTTTGGGAACAGACTTAATAGATGAATCATTAATAACAACATTTTTAGAAATAACAGAAGTCTTAGTACCTTTTAGTTTAATCCTCTTGGCAGATGCAGAGGCAGCTTCGTCAGAATCCTTTCTCTTTAAGAGATTCTTGGGTTTCTCAGCAATCTTAGCCTTCTTCTGGACAGGTTCAGATTCTGCTGCAGGCTGAGTCCTTTTCCTCTGAAGTGGTACTTCTTCTTCTTCTCCTGCATCTGGTAGTGGTTGTTTGACAAGCTGAAACACATTTGCTGGAACAGGTACTCCTTCCCTTTTGCATTCCTCTATATACATCAGTACTATATGCCTGGGTTCTTCAGCAAAGAATAGAGGGAAGTCAGATACTGGAATCCTCTTATTCAAATCAGACATATTCAGCCTTTTTGGAGCAGTAGTGAGTTCATCTACAATCTTGAGTCTCAAAAGACTTTTAGCGTTCAGAGGCTTTCCCATAATAAACTATAATTCCTCTGTAACACCAGCATCATACATAGCAGCCACTAAACCATTTTCAGTGAGAAGATCTGAGATCAACCTTCCAAATGGGATCCAAGTCCTGATCTTCTGGCCTTTTTCTTTTACAGATTCTCTTGATGCATTGATGTGATTCCACAGATGCATGAACAGAATGTAAGGAAGATCTACCTTGTTGCTCTGACTAAGGCAGT